CAGCAGTCCACAACTTTGAAAAATTCACTATAAAATTATTTTTTCCTTCATCTCTTCTAGTTTCTTCAGATGACCATTGCCGAAAAAATTATTTCATTAATTCATGAAAAAAGGTGCATTAATGAAATTCAAACAGTTAATTCACCGCTGTGATGCCACTATTAAATCAATAAATTGCAGTGAGTATTCAAAAAAAAGGACAAATAATGAAAGCCTATCCAGTGTCAAGTGTAAAATCCTTATTTTTATATCTAGAATTTAATTAAATTTATAATAAATATATTTTAGTATTAAGTTAATAAAAATTCAGATATAGGCAAATTATTATTATTATTATTATTATTTTTTTAATCATGTTATTGTGTGTGGGTGTGAATGTGTGCGCGGGTGATATTCTAGAAAAATATAGCATGATATAGAAGTTCCGCATCAACTAATCACTAGAGTAAAGGAGCTTGAGGAGCCTATATATAGGAGGTAGTGGGTGAAGCTTGGAGTGAATAAATAATTTTCACATATATATAGGATAGTCTCATAAAAGTACTAGTTTTGAGTTTATTAACTATTGAATCGGACTAAAATTTGGTCACCCCATTTGGGACATCCAAATCATTAATTTCAACGGTTGGATCGTCAGTTCGATCTGCAAGTAACAAGTTATTAGGTACATTTTCAACTCATTTTTTTAGATTTAGCATATAATAAAATCCTGATTAGTAAATTAGCATTTTTGAGCTCATTCACCGTTACATTGAGCCATAATCTGGAGGATAGTATCATGATAGATAGGAAATTAAATTCAACAGTCAAATCAATGGTTTAACTTTTGTAGTGAGAATAATCTAACTTGTATTAAATCTATTTATCTAAGTCCTTTGAAGATAGAATATAAGTTATAAATGAGGGTTTTTCTATTTATGTTATGAATTTGATGATTATAATGATGTAATCTGATAATTAAAGGATATTTAAGCAAGAAAAATTTAGGAATTGAGTCTAAATTATATGTGTGTGTGTGTGTGTACTCATTCCACACCTTATAAAAAGGTCTCTTAGGCTAGAATTTTGAGTAAAAGTTGAAGCTTTTAGAGTAAAAGTTAGATGCTAGGATTTTGTGAGTAGCCTACTCTAATACTATAGAGATAACATCTTAATTTTGTTTGTAGATATAAACCCTATTGTGGCATTTTCAAGGTTGGACTTTGGTTGTATTTGACTGTTAGCTAGGATATCAGGTAACTAAATTTCTATTTGTTGCATGCTCTAGTATGAAATTGGTAAGTGGTTTTATAACTGAATTTTTTTATATAAGTATATTATGTTTTATATGAACTATCTTGTGGGATGCTACTTTGACAAGGATTGAAATCGTTTGTATTGTTAGAAATTAATGATTATGACTATAATGTGTGATTTTGGATTTCAGTTGATTATGTATATAAACGTGTTATTGTGAACCCTGTGCATCTAGTTTGGCTAGGGGGAGATGATTTGAGTATACAGATATATACATGCTACATGGTATTGGCCTTTATACGAAGCTCTATGGTTGGTCACTATTATTATCCCACTACTTCTTTGGGGGAGACCCATGGTCCACCAAGTGCTTTGTGGTCTTTGGCCGGTCCATATCACTCATGTGGTTAGCTTGTCAGAGTCGCCAATCAAATGGAAAGAACTTAGCCCATAGGTTCAGTCAGCGGAAATAAGAAGGATATAAGGATGGATTTAGGTTTAGGAATTGCATTGACATGGGATCTTCATTGATGTTTATATCTTTTAGATAAATGAGAAGTATGTTATCTCTTTTGAAATTATCAACTGCATAAGATTTGTGGAAATATTTGTTTTATATGGTTATTGTGCATTTCAAAGCTTAAATAAATGTCTATCAACTGTTATTAACTCTGTGTGTCCCACCTAACACCTCACTAGCCTATGCTAAAGTGTGTGATAGGTAGGGATTTAGTTATTGAGATGTTGTCTCACTCTCGTTGTTTTCAGGAAACAACATGTTAGCAGGATTTTCGGGGGAAGGCTCCTGAGGCTCAATAGCTGTAGCTGACAGTGTAGAGCTTTTGGACCTTATTTTACGCAATCTTTTTGTATATTGCCATGCATCAAGACTGCAGTCATTTAGGACTTATTTTACCTCATCATATTTTTATGTCGTTTGTCTTAATAAACGTATTATACCTTCTATCTTTGATTTATTTTGTCTGGACACTAGATTAGAGCTTTGGTGGTGGGCCTGAGGCCCTTAGGTTACATGTAATTGAATTATTGTGGATCCACGATGTGATAATGGCAATTTCTACAAGTTTAATTGTTGTTAGTATTAACTGATATAGTTAAATCTGAACTGCTATTATAATTTATCATTCGTGGGTGTGTTGTTTTATAACCATGTTAGCTATGATTACATATAAAGGTTATTTCTTTTTCTTAACCCTGATAGCCTTCATTGAGGTAGAATGCCTTTCTATCATGATTAGCCCTTATTGATGTGATTGCTTCTAAATAACCATGATAGGATATGTTTACTAGTTTTATTCCTTTCTATCATAGTTAGTTCTAGTTAGTGAGTAGCGACGTTACATCAAGTGATGCAGCCATATTGGAAGTACTCATTTATTAGATGTTAAGATAAGTTACGTATACACAGGGTGATTGATTTAAAAAAAAAAAAAAAGCTTTATACTGGAAGTATTCAATTAGATATCATCCAAATTAAACGTAAGAAAAAAACGTGCGGTTTAAAATTTCTAAAAGAATGGTCCAGATTCTCTTGCCGGAAAAATACAACAGTAAAAATTCACTAAGATGATAAAAACAACAATCTGAATCCAGCCTGAGCTGGATGGATAATAACTACTTGACTAAAATAATTCACTACAATAAATTGCACTTCTTTTAGCAATTTTAAACTGCGTGTATAAACATGGGCACCTGTCTATAATATTATGGCTATTATTTTTTTAATTAATTATATACATAGTGAATATTGATTTGAAGATGTAAACGAGACAGGTAAAGTTGGGATATATTCAATTTTTTCCTATTCTTTGTAAATAGTTTATAATACATACATGCATGCAAGTGCATGAAGTGAAATTCCATCATATCCATTTCCATAATCATTTAATTCATTGAACAAAGACAAATTAAAGCATGCACTTAGCTAGGGACCAGCGAATTGCTATTGGCCTTATGACAAATCTAAATCAAGAATATGGTTTGCTGAAATTTTAAGACGAAGCCGCCATAATAATAATAATAATGGAGCATAAAGCCAAATTAAAGCCTACCATTGAGTTGATGAAAAACGTGCATTGTGCGTAAAAGAACGCATATATTATCCTCTATGTAAGATTTGAAGTGGACGACCACATTTAGAAGCATATATGATAGTACACCTTCAATTAATATCAAATTGGAAGTATTCAATGATTCATTGAACAGGCTAGATAGGGTCATGATTAAGAGACAAATTATTTCATTGATTGATTAAAAAAAGTGCATATTATATTTTAATTATTCAATTAAATAAAATCCACGGTAATTGATTGATGAATACTACAAACATATGAATTGACGAGCCCTTATTGCTCAAGACCGATTCTCTTAATAGCACATAGATACAATAGTCTAGAACTCCAAAAAATACTGTTAAATAAAAACAACCCAAGGGTACTTGCTCTGGAGGCGACTAAATCCTTAAGAGAATCATACCCCAAAAGCTAGCTATTAAGTTGGGAAACCCAAGACTTTATAAAACTCCTCTTTTTAAAAAAACCCACCCGATGTAGAACTCAAAAGAAAAAGACCCCAGGAGAAAGGCACATCTTAGCCGCAAATGGATTGGTTGATTGTCTCAAATATTTGATAATAGGATTTTAAGGGGGAGAAAAAAGACACCAGGTATATTGAGTGGCCCAAATGGTTATAACTAGAACTTTAAAAAAACTCAAAAAAATTATTTTGAATTAAATGAAAAATAACAACATAAATTTGATATGACCTCCATGAATGGACAAGAACGAGTCCCAGCAGTTCCTGAAAGAGATGAATTGTAATTGTTGTAAGTCAATTGTGGGGGTATATTAATGAAGTTTTCTTAATATTTTCCAAATATGAATATAGGTAAAATGGAAAATTATTCTGTTTGTTTGCGGACACAATTACTGAATGAATCAGGGAAGTATTTCACGCGAGAACTTAAAGCATTAAAAAATAAAGACCTTAATGCGCTTCTTTTTGGATTATATAGAATTTAACTCATTTCTTTAGAGTGATACATAGGCTTTGATTGGCCTCCTTTTTCGAACGAATACTTCCCATGCTTTCTATTTATTTCCATATTCATTGAACAAGGACAATTTTTTTTTTTTTGGACCAGATTGAACAAAGACAAATTAAAGCATGCTCTTAGGGACCGGTGAATTGCTACTGTTCAGCTTGTGACAAATTTAAATCATCATGAAAACTATTTTTAGACAAAGGCCGCCACAGTAATAATGGATGCATTGAATGATAAATTGCATAAGGCCAAATTAAAGCCTATATATATATATTTATATAGGCGATTGATGGAAAACGTGCGTTGTAAAAGAATTGAATGAAAAACTAAAAGTAAAGCCTGTGATTGATTGATGAAAAACGTGCATTATAGAAGAAAGCATACTCTATTAGATTTGAAGAAAACAGATAAGCAGGGAATACTCAACACATCTAGAAGCATATATACGACACACCTAGAATATTCTTTAAATGACTTATTGAGAGATTTTTAATTATTATAGCCAATGTAATCGTGGAATGATACCATATCTGTTGCAGAAGAAAAACGTGGAATATAAACCTGAATGCTGCTTTCTTTTTATCTACCTAGTTTTGCAATCTGGGTCTATATATACTCACCAATACGATTAAAGATTTCAACACCCAACAAATTTCACTAAGCAAATACAAATTACATAGTTCAAACTTGTTTTTTGTTGTTATTCTCCTCCTCCTTCTTCACGGTTTGCTGTGAATTGCAGCAAGTTCAAGTTCATCAGAATTTGACCCACAGTTAATTATACGCACGCATTACAATGGTGGTGGAGTTTACAGAAGAGCTCAACGTTGAGACCAGCACCAGGGGAGATTATCGAGATTTCATTCAGAATTTGCGAAGACGATTGGGAGTGAGATCTTCTCACAATCGTCCTGCTCTTGCTGTTCAACGGAACCCACCCACTCGATTCTTCGATTTGGTTTTACGGACCAATGATCATTCTGTGAGTTTCAGGTTTCGAATGGACAACCTCTACTTGCTTGGCTACCAGATGGAAAACGGCCAATGGTTAGAGTTCGACAACAGGGACCGGAACAATCAACCGGTGCATCTGATTACAGAACCTGGGACCAACTTCCTAGGTTTCGATGGAAGCTATGGTGGACTAGAAAGAGCTGCTCATCAGACGACCGAGCAGATGAGAGTTGGGGTCCACAGCCTAGACTACGCTATAAATCAACTTGCTGTAACAACAAGCGGGGAAGCTAGGGCACGAAGTCTAGTTGTTGTGATTATGATGATTTGTGAGTCGACCAGACTCATCCCAGTATTTAACTATGTGGCTGACAGTTTTGACAACAGGCCTCGCACTACTCGTGACAGTGAAGGCCAGATCCAACCTTGGATTATGGACCTAGTTCGAAGTTGGGATCCTTTGTCTTCAGCATTGTTGCGTGCCGATGCTTACCCAGAAGAAAGGTTTCAACTTGGACCAAACAACATACGAATCCCGCCAGAGAACAGAGAAATAAGAACTATGGCCGATGCTATAGCAATACTAGGTATCTTGTTGGGACTTTGCTTCTATCCCAAAGGACCAAAAAGGTTGCCCCGCATGGCCTCTGCTGATGATGATGATGGACAGTGTTTTCTAGGGCTACCACTTTTGCAAGTTTTCTCAGTGCAGATCAACAACATAGATGGTGAGGATCCTGGGCAACTCTATGGCACAATTATACTTGAAAACGGACTATACACACAATTCATATACAACCGCACAAGTGACAACTGAGTCCATCAAGCCTGGTCAAAATGCTACGCTAATTGGACCGTCTCAATCTGTCCCTGCCTTTGGGAATATTGCCATCAAACTGCTTCTCACTGATAAGAACACACTCTCATGGGACGATGTAATCATGAATCAAGTTATCTCATGGGATTCTGCTAACATCGGAAAGGTTTACGACGAACTCATATCTCAGAAACTAGACGACAGTCGGGGTTCGGTGACTGCCAATTATGCGGTGTGGCAAAATGCGGCGGCTGCTAGGGTTACTGTTACTATTGAAGAAGGAGGTGAAGCAACAACTGAGGTTTATGGAAATGTTTCTGCTTCTTATGGCAAATGGGAAGATCCTAAAACGACATGCTTGTTGTTCGACAGAACATCTGACAACTACGTCGAAGTGAGACGTTGGCAGACCATTCCAGTGTTGAGATCTGTAGTTGCTGTGCCACTGGACAACTCTCTCAAAGTTACTGCACGTTTGTATGATTATGATCCTCTCTCTGCTGATGATCAGATTGCGAATGGCGCTGTAGAGATCCCAGTCCCAGAGACCATTCCGTCTGCTCCTACCTTTCATCGCATTGACGGAGAAGGCGGCAACTGGGTGACTGTGACAGTCTACTGGAGTTCCGGTTTCTAAATCGTTCACAAACTAGTTGTGAACATTCTCTCTTGTCCTAAAGCCCAAATCCTTAGTCTTTGTTTCTTAAGTTCGTTGATGTAATGTGCTATAAGTGGGCTCGGTTTGTTAGATATGTCATCTTCGTTAATGAAATCTAAATATCTTGTGCCATATACCTTGTAATGGAAGTGTTTTTAATGTAATACTCATCCTATCCTTAATACAGGATCTAATAATTTGAGTAGATTAATAATGTTAGTTAAATTATTTAATATGATGTGTTTTTTTCTAAAATATCCTGATTATCTTCTTTAATTCCCTTCCTCCCTCTCCTACTTAATTATTATTGAAGAAATATCAATAGGATTAATTTGGAAAAAAATTGATAACTATGTGAAATAAGTCTTTTATATATAAGATCAACATCAACTCTCAAATTAGATCCTATATTAAGCATTGGAGGAGTATTCTTATTTCAGTTTATGCTTAAACACTTTGCATGTGTGGTATATATACTACTACAAGATGGTGTGTAAGAAAGGTATTAAGAACAAATTAAGAACCTGTGAAACCACTCCAAATCAAGAAACTAGGTCAAACTGATCTTAACCTGTCATTACTTCTTAATTTCCAACCCATGCATGATTTATGCAAGCTAGCCTATACCTGACAAACACTGACAAACGAATATTACTGGGTAAAATGGGTAAAAGGATGAAGAAATATGTATTATATATGTTAATCACTGTGAAGTATTTTATGTGTCATAATTATTCTACTTTTATTTTTCAAAAATAAATATTGATTAACTTTTTTAATTATATTTTTGCCTCTTAAAGATGATGTCCCAAGAAAAAAGGGACTCGACAGCTGTCCACACATGTCAATTTTTTAGGACACCTGGGTAAAGAAAAACAAAGACCATATGCATCCATTACAATAAAAAGTTCAAATATTCAGAACATAGTTCTTTCGCTAAATCACTTCATCGAACGCTGTGATGTGATGCGGCAGAAGGTTCATAACAACTGAAACCAACAAAGGTAAAAACAGAAGACGAAAAGAAAAATAACGATATAGACGGAGCCCCAAAGAAACCCATGTGATTCAACGTTACCATCTATAACAGCAACGAACTCATTTTTATAGAATTAAGGGCAAATTGGCCATATAAATCCCCAGTTGGTTACTAAGATCTTTTAGGAGAAATAAAAAATGCACATTGCCTTAATGGAAAATGTAAATACCCAACCTAATGTGTAACTGGAGTCTCCTAAGATGTAATTAGCTTCCTTAATGTGCAAGTAACCTTCCCGAATTTGCAATTACGTTCCCTTAATTATATGCAATTAACTTTCATATAATGTGCATGTGGCCTTCCCTAATCTACAATTACCCTTCCTTAGTATGCAAGCTAAATGAATAGGCAATTATTCCTCCAATACTTAATGTAGACTTAATTGTTGAGTTGATTTTGGTTATAAATGTAAAATTTATTTATCATATTTATCAATTTTTTCAAATTACCTCTATTGATACTCCTTCAATTATAATCAAATAGGATGGGGAGAAAGAATATTAAAGAAGATGATTATGATGTTTTAGAAAATATGACATATTTCTTATAATTAACTAACTTGCCTAACTTTCTTAATCTAATCAAACTAGTTAAATAAGTCTTATACTACCTCCAGTCCTAAATATAAAAGTTAGTTGACTAATTTAAGTAGATTAAGGAAACAAGTTAAGTTAGTTATTTATAATATATAGGTGTTGTCTTTCCTAAAATATCCTTTTCTAATCAAGTATATTGGCTAGAACTACTATTATTAGAATGACTATCTTAAAAAAAAATACATAAATATGAGAGAAAAAGTGAATTAAGGTCTTATATTTAAAACCAAAATAAAAGTCAAACGAGATCTTATATTAAAGACTAAAGGTAGTATTAAAAATCGGAGGAGTACGTTCTCTTCTACGCAGCAATTACCTTGCGTAGTGTGCAAGTGACCTTCCTTGATATGCAATTACCTTCGATATGCAATCCGCTTATATAGTGTCTATTTGGAGCAATGTTTAAGTGGCGTTTAAGGAGCTTTCTGAAGCTAAAAGTACGTTTGGCATGTTTATTAGTAGTTGGAATAACTTGAAAAGCTAAGTGCTTATATCAAAATGGCAAGAATAAGTCAAAAGCTAAAATTTGATGCTTCTGCCACTAGAAAAGTGGAGAGAGAAGGGGAAAATGTAGGTCCTTCTTTAAAAAATTTATTATCATGGAGAGAGAAGTTAAGAGATAATAAACTAATTGTTACTCTTCATATTCTATTTATAAGACATAGAAAGAAGAAAACTTTTTTTACCTTATTTATAAGGAGGAGAGGGAATTTTTTTTCCTCTGAACGTGCAATTTTATATTTCATTTATTATTTATTGTCTTTGTTTTTATGATGTATTTTATATTAACTAAGGATAAATTTGAAAACTTGTTAAATTATAAATAAGAGTTAATAAAGTTTAAAATTTTTTTAATTTGTTTGAAATATATTAGAAGTGACTTATAAATAGGACCACTAGAGTAGTCCTTCTAATCTATAACACAAAATGTTAGTTAAACTTTTTTCACAAAATAGGGAATGCTAGTTAAATCATTAAATATGTTTTAATTTTTTTGAGCTGCATGATTTAGCTATTTGACGCTTACATTTTGAACTAAAAGGAGTATTATTTAATAAATTCATGCTCCTTTTTTTGTCATTTTATAATTAAACTTGCATTTTCAATAATAATTCAAATAATTTTATTTTTACAAACTGACTAACAAACCTATGTTTTTATATGTATTTTTATATATTTTTGGTGGGTTTTTGTCATTGTTATTAGTCCTTAATCGCATTATTTGAGTTTAATTCACATTAGAGTGCTTCAACTTGAATTAGTGCATGATAAGGGTAAAATTGTCATAATTATGATTAAGTGATTGTTAAGGACAATTAATACTACCTTATTCTTGAATTTTGTTTGCAGGTTTTTGAAAGATTTAAAAATAAAAATAAAAAATAAAAAAAAAGAGAAAAAAATATAATAAAAAAATAAGTTAAAAAATATATATAATAATAAAAGGAGGGAGCAAAACGCAACGTTTTGGCCCCCTAACCTAATATACTACTATTCTTCGTCATCTCCCTGGAGGAGGTGGAGCGGACGGCAGAACTAGCATCCAGAACAGAGGGAGGCGAACACGCACAGAAGAGAGCAAGAGGAGAGACTCAGTATGAGCGAACCAGAGGGAGAGAAGCAGAAGCAGCAAACCAGAGAGAATAAACAGTGAACAGAGTGAGCAAGAGGGGGCCACCCATCATCTTCTTCTCCTTCTCAGCGTCAATAGAACCAGCGAGAGTAGAGATGCCAGAGGAGGTCGACTACGAGTGAACCAGAAGGAGTAAGACAGCGAAATCAGGCCTGTACACCTCATCCTCCATCAACTCTTGCACTGTTCCGTCACGTCTCTTCCATGGCAGCCTATAGCAAGTTATTGATCATGGCATTTTTTATGGCAAACCGAGGCTGAATTTCAATTCTCTAGTACAATAGCTATGGCTTGAACTTAGAGTTTACTTCTTTCGTTGTAATTATAATTTCTAGGTCTTAGAATCAATTTTACAATATTTTCGAATATGCTGTGATGATTTATGTTTGTATTGAGACTAGTTATAGTTATTGGAATCTTTGATTAGCATTTAACATTATGTTATGATTAGCTTTAATTTCTTTACATTGTATTGGGTCAGACTATGTTCTGAAATTATTGTGAACATTCAGTGGTAATTTAAGGTGGTTTGGTTATTGGATTAAAAATTTTAATTACTTTTCTTTGATTATCTTCAGCTAATTGTGCTGAAATAATTTGTGAGTAATTAATATGCAAGGTGGCTCAGTGTTGATTATTCTAATTAAACCGAGTTTAAGAGGTGGCTTTTAGAGTCTTTTGAATCTAGCTAACTCTCAAATTAATTGAAGTAATGATAGCCTTAATCATTCTGTTAGAGGATTGCTCTTCCATTTGTTATCACTTGTTAATTTTCTTTGTTTATTTCATGCATATCTATTTTATAAACTAAAAATCCAAAAATTATTTACTCATTTTTTATCCTTTTAAATTTTTCCAATTAGTTAGTTAAAAAGAAAATCAATCCCTTTCCAAGTCAATTCTTTATTTTTGATACTTAGTTTGCTTAAGATTTCAAATAAAAGCTCCTCAAAGTGAAACGATCTGAGTTTTGCACTATATTGCATTGCTTGGATTTATTTTTGATTAGGAACTCCAAGATGAACGACAAAGGCTCTCATCACTGGCTTATTTACAAAGCTAATCTAAACAACTTTTCTACCTTTACAAACTAACTTTTATAAAATCTAATATCCTTACTAATTAAGTTTATTGGCTAGAGTTACCATTATTAGAAGGATTATCTTAAAAAAAAGAATAAATATGATAAACAAGATGGATTGATGTCTTATATTTAGGACTACAATAAAAATCAAACAAAATCTTATATTAAGGATTGGAGGTAGTATGTAAGTAGCCTTCTTGAATATACAATTACCTTCCTTAATATGCAACATGAAGAAGCATGCACACCTTCCCCAAGATGCAATTAGTTTTCATAACATGCAAGTGAAGTTCCCTAATATGCAATTGACTTCCTTAATATGTAATTGACGAGTAGCAGTTTTCTCGAAATATGCAATTACCTTCTCTAATATAGAATAGGAAACAATATGCAATTACTTTCCCCAAGATGCAGTTAGTTTTTATAATGCGCAAATGGGTTTCACTAATATAAGATTACCTTCCCAAATACGCAATATAAATCAATATACAAATTACTTTTCTGAAATTTAATTAGCTTCCATTATATGTAAATGAATTTCCTGATATGCAAATTATCTGGCCTTCACTGCCAAACCGAAGCTCAAATAAGTTCACATTGATGAGGGACGTAGAGGAAGATGTTGGGGGGAGGGGAAAATAGGCGCACGAATTGAAACCCACCCCCCCCCCCCGGGGGGGTACAATTCTGAAGGACCCCAAATATTTACAAGATTTCAAAAACCATTCCCCACATAATTTTTCAATTGGGGATTTATGCGCAATTTTTCCTAAACTTAAATCGATATATAGCATATGATATAAAATCTATATCAGGTTGCATGATTTGCATTATTTGTAAAGTCAAGCATAGAACAACTCATTCCATACTGCATCATGAAAAGCATGAAAACACGCCTAATTATTATATTATAATTTCACATGAGCTATATATATTATTCAACCACATCACATTTACAAGAATTAGTTGATCCAGAGAGAACCAGTTGCATAGTCAGACAAAATTTACATCTCCTATAAGCAGCACGAGTCACATGCACCATGTGCTGCGAGTATGCATGTTCAAACAATTTTGGTAATATTTACCAAAGCAAAAATGTAGAAATACACAAAATTGCTAATTCCTAATTAAACTGAAGCTACATGAGTACTTTTCTCAGGATAACAAGAAGGATTTTTGTTACTCTTGTATTATAATATGTGCATGGCGATATCGGACCAGAGCTTCTTGCACAAGCTCTACCACATTCTTCATTATCACGTAGGAACCCCCTCAAAACGGGGTTAGATTTTCCGAGTTTCATTGGAGATCGACTCCAAGTGTAAGACTTGAGTGGTGAATTGCATGATGCGAATGAGTCCCGGTGGAAAATATCTCTCTCCCTAAAGATAACTTGGGAAGAATCCAAATCCCCACATTTGCCAATTGATTTGTAGTTCTGCACAACTGTATGCAAGTAGTTCAGTTCAATGGTGAATGTCACCTTTCCCTCCCAATGGTCCTCGTTCCTCAAGACCCTGAATGCCTTTAAAGATATATAAAGGCACTGTAACAGCCTCTAGCATGGATACTTGTCGAAGATCTTCCATTCTAGCCAAATTCAAAGATTAGATGCTGTAGGTAAGCCTTGAAAGTTAGAATTACCAAGCCTGATGAAGGATGATCTCAGTTAGTTAAAGAAGTATGGTGACTTTAAGACATCTCTTAAGTCGAAATCTCCCCGTTCTGGCAAGGGTGGGAACGATAATGAAGGGAAAGACCTCTGAAAGCCCTCCAGTAACTGTTCAAACAGTAAATAGGTTAAAGAGATAGAAATGACGTCAAAACAACCAGACAGCCACATCAGTTCGAACATTGATGTCAAATGAAACAATGAAGACCTCCTTCCTATGTTTGTTTCCGTAGGCATATTTAACTTGTGTAGTTACTTTACCCTCAGTTGCAACATGCCAATTTGTATGTAGTTTCTTCCCTAGCTCTGGGAAGTTAGAAAAGAGCTTTTCCCTACTCAATTAAGGTTGGGTGATTCTTCTCTTACAAATATAAACGACCACTTAGCAAAGAAAACAGATCACTTCAATAGTAAATATCATCTATTCTCTTGGGATGAAAAATCTATAATCATGAAAAATCTAGTAAATCTGATATCGCAAATCTTAATTAAGATCATTCACAAACAATAGTTGGGTAAAATATGTGCAGCTTAAACGTACATTTTCAAGAATTGGAATCTGATACAGTTCCACAAACTTCTCTCTGAGTATTCTGTTCATTTCATCCACATCACATGCATGCGTCCAGTAGGAATCATGAACCCCTACGGATGTAAAAGAAAAGATTACTCAAAAACATTAAACAATCAAATCAGATGGAGGGAACTGAACTAGGTAGAACCTGCAAAATTCAAGCCTGCCCTATGGCAGGCAACTGCTGTCATCATCATATGAGAACCATCGAGTGAGTGAACAAAATTCGGGGGAAATGCTGTCCTCTGTCGCTTGACCAAGACCTACAATAGTTGTAGATTACAAAGGAATGAGGACAGTACAGCATCAATATTTGCAGTCATAAGACAAATTTATCATGAAGATGCAAGGTTACGACGCAATTTTGCAAACAAGGAATTCCCAAGGGTGCCCATTGTTTAACCCACCTTATCTGTTTCCTCTTGCAGTGTCAAAATCTGAAGCGATGTTTTGACCTGTAACCAATACAATAGTTTATGAACGTGTTAAAACTCTTATCTTGAAACTGAAAACCAAATATAAGTATTAATAAGACGCATAATTCTAGCAAAAATACTCACCAAATGCCTCCCCAATTTACGGTAAGGTTGCACCACAGGAAGTCCAAGAGGAGTGGTCCAGCGCACAGGTTGATTTTCAGCTGCAATTATCTGTTTCAAGTGTCTTGGTCATACCATAAAACAACCAAGTAACAACAAAAGAGCATAAAATTTTATTCTCCAGAACATACTTTTGCACAGTCACCAAGCCAGCTCATAATACTCCGTGCTGCTTGAAACATTTCCTCCAAAGCAGTTAAGGTTACCTGATAGGAAAGATGCAAGACACAGTAACATATCTTGGTTGCGAAGATGAGATATTTTCAATACTTAACCTCAAATTGGCCACATTAAACCATATACCAGGCACTAGGTGGTAAAAACTATTGACAAGAAGCCAGGTTCAAAAAGCAAATTATGACATGATTACGAACAAATTACAGCTATTCTCTATGTACTGGTAATCATTTAATGTTATTATGGTACACAATAAAAACATGAAACAGGCCAAAAAATCTATATACAAATTCGGAAATAATTAGATTCATCTGTGTTTTCAATTATGCCAGTTTGAAATGTTGCTTTTAAAGTTTTAATTCCACTATATTGCACCACTAGGATCATAATGGCCTAGATAGGATGGTTAAATAGTTATGGGTTACATCGCAATCTATGTTTGAAATGAAAGCAAGGACAGATGTGGAGGAGGACAGTGAGAGGCTCCCCCCCCCCCCCCTCTCTCTTCCCAAAAAAGAAAAAACACCAAAAAAAACCGGGGGGAGGGGGGAGCAGGGGAACAAAAACAATATCTAAGTTTTCAGGAAAAAAAAAATATGGTCTTTGCTTTTTGAGCAAACCCACACCCCCACCCCCAAAAAAAAAAAAAATAATAACTCCATATTTTGCCTTCCATTCCCTCATTCCCCCAACTTATCAAGTCCTAGACGACAAGCTTAGTTTTTCATAATTTATTAGTTTTATTTATCACTGTATTACTTTTGATCTTAATTGAATTTGATACATATAATATTATGCGAGCTATGTTTTAATGCAGGTTGCACAAAGCTTTGTGCTATGTAGTATTATATTTAAGAACCTTTGTCTATCCAAGTACACTGCACATCAATTAAAACTTCAAATTTAAGATTGCAAACACAAATAATTCCTTCCCTCTAACCTTTGCGGCATAACAAGCAGCAACAAATAGCTCTTTATCATCTGAAATGACACCTCGGTCTTTCAACCTCCTCATTATCTGATCCCGAGCACCCATGTAAGTGACACCATACACTGATGTCATCACTGTTTGCTTGACCAATTTTCTATCCACCTGGATGATGTTCCAGATTAGCTAAGAATCTGCTTAGAGAGAGGATTTCTCAAGAACAACACTAATGTCATTCAAGAATAGTAATGCAAAAAAGAACAAAAAGGAAATTAATGCCATACAAACAATTATAGGCAATCATCTCCTTGAGCAAAAACAAAACATGTCAGATGTAAACCAAAAAGTAACAAGGAAACCTGATTGATTAAGGTCTTCGCCTGCAAAGCATCAGGAAAAACTGCAGGATCTTTCTGAGCATCCCTTCGTATAATGTCTAAAACTCTGCACAATATTTTCAGATATCATGGAAACTATAAATGCAATGCAATGATAAGCCCAGATAAAGTTCTGATTTAGCATAGAATAACTCGCTTGTGCATGTGTAGAGAGAGGGGGGGGGTTATGAGTTAAATACAGGACATAGTCAGATTTTAGAGCAGCAAGATCTTAAATTGCTTGCGTGACTTCACTTGATGTGTACTTGAAAAAAGCGTCCACTAGAAAATCACAATGGGTTATGGTTTACTGTAGCTTCAAACCCGGTAAGTCTTGAAATCCATAGAAGTCATGAATATGATTACTTGCAATCTTAACTGCAGAGTTCATCTTGTCCTTGTTATTGCCTCTTTGAAGATTCCGGAATGAATTTCATCATCTATAAAGGCATATTGGCTAGCTGAAACGGAAGATAATTAAATTGGCAATGCCCTCTCATATTTCCATTACCAAGGTTTATGTATTATTTGCAAGTTGAAAACCATCATGGAAACCATCAAACAATGTCGCCGTCAGTTACAACCTAGACCAATTCCTTTTCCACTGAATCTAACTCTTGATCTCCTATTGCTCTTCAAAACAAATAATGTCATTGCACTCCTTCTATTACCTCCTGTTGGCAGCGAAAGAGGAATTGGACCATGGGCCTAAAAACCCTAACCCTAATTAGCACTGATTTGAAATTTAAATTTATGATGTAATCTAGTATCTAGGGATATTATTCTGATTTCATCTTCATTATTTGAATTTGTATTTCCTAGGATCTAGGTCAACCACTAGGATTTCGGCTTATCACTCTCATCTATTAGGGTTTCTATACTCTATTTATAATCAGCACCTCATTTGAATAAGTTCAGAACCATTAGAGTTCTTCATGGTATCAGAGCAAAATGATAACCTTCGGTATGGGCCTACCTAACGAAGGAGAAAACAACCCTAGACAGCCACAAACAAACCCCACTGATTTGGCAGCAACAACAATCAGTTCAACTAACAACCAGAATTCATCCGAGCCCCTCCCTTCTGCCATTACCATTCATTGTCTCAATGGAGACAATTATCTCCAATGGTCCTTTAGTGTGAGACTCTTCATCATAGGCAGAGGAAAGTATGGATACCTCACTGGAACTATAGAGAAACCTGCAACCAGCGACCAAAAGTATGCCACTTGGGAAGCAAAATATTCAATGGTGCAGGCATGGTTGATAAATTCAATGACCATCAAAATCAGCACTCACTTTTCTTTCTTCTCAACAGCAAAAAAAGTATGGGATGCTGCAAGGGACATGTTTGCTGCCATAAAAAACAAGGCTGCCATACTTGAGATCGAGCACTTCCTCCACGATTTCAAGAAAGGTAATCTTTTAGTGACCCAATACTATACTGAATTAATTGTTAAATGGCAGCAACTTGATGCATATGAGCCACATGCTTGGAGTTGCATCGGAGATGCAGCGCCCTATGCAAACATTAAAGAAGAAAAGCGCATCTTTAAGTTCCTTCTTGGACTAGATGCCTCGTTTGAAGAAGTACGGGGCAGAATTATGGGGCGTGAGAACTTGCCCCCACTAAGAGAAGTGTTCTTTACTGTACGTGGTGAAGAGAGTCAAAAGAAATTAATCACTGACAACTCTATTGAAGCTGTTTAGCCAAGTGCACTAACATCTAAAGGAGCAATCTAGGATGATCACAGAAAACTCAACAAATGGTGTGATCAATGCAAGAAGAAAGGTCACACGAAGGATGTCTGGTGGAAATTACATGGCAGACCTCCAAAGAAAGGAAGGCAAGAAGGCCGGGGATACTTAGGCACTACTGAAGGGCCAAGTGAGTCAGAATTCAGCAAAGAAGAACTTGTTTACTCAGAAGATTCTTACAGAAACATGATTCCAAAGAAAATACCATTGCAACTGGGTAGATTGCCCATACAGGTAAAACTATACTAGCCTTAAAAACTTATGCGCATCATAAGAGATTATGGATAGTGGATTCTAGTGCTACTGACCATATGACTGGAAATTCAGATTTGTTAACAGATATAAGACCTTGCCCTGTCAACATTTTTTGTAAAGGTTGCAGATGGTAAAGCATTGAAAGTTGAAGGCCTAGGCACTACTTATATAACTTCTGAGATAATTTTGTATAATGTGTTCTACACTCCTAGTTTAAAATGTAGCCTATTATCTGTTGAAACCATGACAAACAGCCAGCAATGTGGTGTTTACTTTACTTCTGTTGAATGTATTTTCCAAGACCTGGGGAGAAGGAAGATGATTGGCACTGCTAAGATCTTAGAAGATCTCTACTGATTGGAAGTACAACATGGAGTTCATGAATCTCATTTGCACTTTGTGAAATGTTCTTCAGCTTTATCTATTAATTTTGAGAATAAAGAGGCATTGTTATGGCACTATAGGCTAGGCCATCCAATTTTCGTTACATGTCAAAGTTGTTTCCCCATCTTATGAATAAAAATGATTTTTCTTTTACTTGTGAAATCTGCCAGTTTGAGGGATAAAACTTATGAGTCATACAATGAAGTTGTGGGAAAAAGTGATGGAATATAGATTGAGGTTGGAGACTTCTATTTCAGAAAACCAATTTGGATTTATGCCAGGGAGATCCACATCAGAAGCAATCTATTTACTAAGGGGGTTAATGGAAAGATATAGAAGTAAAAGAAGAGATTTACATATGGTTTTTATTGACCTGGAAAAGGCTTATGATCGTGTGCCAAGAGAAGTATTGTGGAAGGCTTTGGAAAAGAAAGGTGTACGGGTTGCGTATATCAAAGTCATACAAGATATGCATAAGGTGGTAACTACCAGTGTAAGGACGCCTGGGGAGGAGACAAAGGACTTCCCTATTAAGATTGGCCTACATCAGGGATCCTCTCTGCGTCCGTACTTGTTCAACATTGTTCTCGATGTTCTAACTAAACCTGTTCAAGAAAGAATCCCTAAGTCCATGCTTTTCGCGGATGATATAGTTCTTATGGCGGAATCAAAAGAAGAGATTAACACTAGTTTGGAGTTATGGAGAAGGACTTTGGAGTCGAAAGGTTTCCGTTTGAGTAGGAACAAAACAGAATATATGCATTGTGATTTTGGAGGGAGGCAAGGTAATAGGGATTTGGAGGTGAGGATGGGAGAGCAAATTATTCCTCAAGTATCAAAGTTTAAATACCTAGGATCCATTATACAGGAGGATGGGGAAATTGATGGAGACATTTCTCATAGAATACAAGCTGGCTGGTTAAAGTGGAGGAAAGCTACCCGAGTTATTTGCGATAAGAAGGTACCTGAGAAACTTAAAGGAAAATTTTATCGGACTGCTATAAGACCAGCTATGATGTATGGTAGTGAATGTTGGGCAATAAAGGGAAAACAAGAGCACAAAGTCGGAGTAGCAGAAATGAGGATGTTGAGATGGATGTGTGGTCATACAAGAAAAGATAGGATTCGAAATGAAAAGATCAGGACAAGAGTCGGTGTGGCACCTATCCAAGAGAAAATGGTTGAAAATCGCTTAAGATGGTTTAGACATGTGCAGAGAAGGCCTTTGGAGGCCCCGGTGAGGAGGGTGGATCAAACAAGATGGAGTCCCATAAAAAGAGGCAGGGGAAGACCGAGAAGAACGCTGAATGAGGTCATTGAACGAGACCTCCTAATCAACAACATATCTAAGGATTGGGTTGTTGACAGAGCACGATGGCGTCGTGTGATTCATGTAGCCGACCCCACCTAGTGGGATAAGGCTTGTTGTTTGTTTTGTTTTTGTTTGTGAAATCTGCCAATGTCCCAAACAAACCAAAGCAACTTATAAACCACGCACACACCAATTTTCAAAGCCATTCCACCTCATCCATAGTGACATCTGGGGACCCTCACGAATATCCTCTATCTCATGCTAAATGGTTTGTCACCTTCATTGATGACCACACTCATCTTACATGGGTGTTTCTTCTGAAAGAAAAATCTGACTTACCCTCTACATTTATCAATTTTCACAAGATGATAACCACACAATTTCAAACCCACATTTCCACACTCTGTAGTGACAATGGCCGAGAATACATGAGCCACACACTTCAAAATTACCTTCGAGAAAATGGCATTATCCACCAAACTAGCTGTGTAGACACTCCACAGCAAAATGGAATTGTTGAATGCAAAAATAGACATATTCTTGAGGTAACCCGAACCCTTATGTTCACTCACAATGTTCCCAAACAATATTGGGTGGAAGCTATTCTCACAGAAGTATATCTAATCAATCGAATGCCTTGCAAAACTCTTAACTTCCAAACACCAATAAGCCTTCTCACCCAAACCTACCCTCACACATCACTAGCAACCAACCTAACCCTAAAAGTTTTTGGGTGTCTAGCCTATGTCTACCATAAAGGAGGAGGAAAACTTCAACCCTGAGCAATCAAATACCTATTCCTTGGATATTCATCTCCAAAAAGGATATAAGTGTTACTCACCTTCCTTTCGCAAACTTTTCATTACCATGAATGTTAAATTTGTTGAGGACCAAGCCTACTACACCAAATCTCCCATTCGGGAGGAGAATGTGGGGGAATGGGAGCTCTTAACCACTGAAAAACATGAAAACACACCAGAAACTGAACCTACCAGGCCAGAACCTACTCAAACAATCTTACCCAAGCCTGATTTAAGCCTTTCCAACCCTGAAACTGAATCTGAACATGAATCAGAATCTCTTTTCCAGCAAACTGAGCCAAATGCAATGCCTAATAATGCCTTACAAGACGCTACAATGGAGGAATCTGAAGCAGAAACAAGAGGAACTGAAGAGGAAGCAAATACTCTAAACAGTGGAGATCTTTCTGGATCAAGGCAAAACCAAGAATCAACCCAATCTCCAGAGCCTGATGATCTTGGATGGCCAATTGCGCTAAGAAAAGGGGTAAGACAGTGTACTATGCATCCTATTAGTCATTTTGTTTCCTATGACCAGTTGTCTACCTGTATGAAAGGTTTTGTGACTAAACTGGAGGAAGAGAACATTCCCTCAACCTTTGAAGAAGCAGAAAGAGATCCTAGATGGAAAGCTGCCATTGATGAAGAGTTACAAGCTCTAGATTAGAACCAAACATGGCAGGTTGTACAACTCCCAAAGGACAAGAAAGCAGCAGGGTATAAATGGGTTTTCACCATTAAATATAATTCATATGAGTCTTTAAACAAGTTCAATGCTCGGTTAGTAGCTAAAGGATTCTCTCAGACCCAAGGAATTGACTATCAAGAAATATTTGCCCCAGTAGCAAAACTGAACACTATTAGAATATTACTCTCGCTAGCTGCCAATCTAGATTGGCCCTTACATCAATTAGATGTAAAAAATGCATTTTTGAATGGAGATCTCAAAGAAGAGGTCTACATGAAGGTCCCAGAAGGTTTGGCAGAACAAGGAAATCTGACCAAGGCTTGCAGATTACATAAATCCCTTTATGGCCTTAAACAGTCACCAAGGGCCTGGTTTGAGAGATTTACAAAGGTGGTAAAAGGTACAGGCTACATCCAATGTCAATCTGATCATACACTATTTGTTAAGCACTTAGGTACAAAAATGGCTATCCTAATTGTGTATGTTGATGACAATGTAATTACTGGTGATGATTCTGAGGAGATAGATAGGTTAAAAATAAACCTGGCAGCAGCATTTGAAGTTAAAGACCTTCAGAACCAAAGGTACTTTCTTGGAATGGAAATTGCTAGATCAAAAAAGGGCATTTCTGTATCCCAAAGAAAGTATACTCTTGATCTACTCAAGGAAACAGGTATGTTGGGATCTAAACCATCATCAACTCCTATGGATCCTTCTGTTAATCTAGAATTCAAAAAAGATGGAGTCCCAATGCAGAGAGATATAAAAGACTGGTGGGCAAGCTCATATATTTGTCCCATACTAGACCTGATATAAGCTTTGCTGTTGGAGCAATTAGTCAATTTTCAGCACAACCACAAGAACACCATATGGAGGCTATTTACACAATACTTAGGTATTTGAAAATGACACCCAGAAGGGGAATATTTTTCAGAAAGGGGGAATCTCAAAATATAGTTATTTATACTGATGCTGATCATGATAGGACACGTGTTGATAGACGGTCAACTGGGGGTTATTTCACATTTGTATGGGGTAACCTTGTAACCTGGAGGAGTAAGAAGCAGACTGTTGTGTCAAGAAGCATTGCGGAGGCTGAATTAAGGGCCCTAGCTGATGGAATTTGTGAAGAAATGTGGATTATTCGAGTAATGAGGGAACTTAAAATTCGAGTTAATTTGCCTATTAAATTATGGTGTGACAGCATGTCAGCAATTCAAATGGTTCACAATCCAGTGCATCATGACAGAACTAAACATGTAGATATTGATAGACATTTCATAAAGGAGAAGGTTGAATCAAGAGTCATTGATCTCACTCAAATGAATACTTCCTCTCAAACAGCTGATGTACTCGCAAAACCTTTGGACAGATTCAAATTTGAATATCTCAAAGGCAAGCTGGGCATGGAGGACATCTACTTGCCAGCTTGAGGGGGAGTGTTGGCAGCGAAAGAGGAATTGGGCCACGGGCCTAAAAACCCTAACCCTAATTAGCACTGATTTGAAATTTAAATTTATGATGTAATCTAGTATCTAGGGATATTATTCTGATTTCATCTTTATTATTTGAATTTGTATTTCCTAGGATCTAGGTCAATCACTAGGATTTCGGCTTATCACTCTCATCTATTAGGGTTTTTTACTCTATTTATAACCAGCACCTCATTTGAATAAATAATAAGTTCAGAACCATTAGAGTTCTTCACCTCCTCTTCTGTCCCTTATCATTTATGTTATTTAAGAAAAGAAAAGTTAGTCTTCTGTAATATCTCGATTCAGCAGTGGTTCCTAAAACTGTCTGGACCAGGGAAGAAAGTGGGCATAAACATAGGTATCTATCATTGACTACATGTCATTACTTCTCACATGTTAGCCGCAATTTGGTTGTCTTCTCATTTAATGCTCGTACCAAAGGCTGCACTAGCTTTGGCACAGTTATAATTAATAAACAAACCCAGTCACAAGGACTCAGCCTCAGCTCTTGTCATCATTATTCGCTCCCCCTTCCCCCAAAAAAAAAAAAAACAGAGAGAAAGCATACAGTACGACATGCTACTTTACAGTCCCCCCCCCAAAAAAAAAAAAGGAAAAGAAAAGAAAATCGTGAACAATTTAAGGCCAGATGTAAGAAATGATGTACCTTGCTGCAATCCCTGAGTAAACATCTGCAGGCTTCTCTCCTGCAACTAAATTGACAGCAACCGCCCCCAACTATGAAAATAAAAACTCAAATAAGTAACTACATATAGAAGCCTCTTGATATATACATTACAGTGGCAAGGGGTTTATAGTAACTGTACTGAGAGAAAAGGTAAGTTTTGCCTTTAGAGTTAGTTATAGAGAGAGAGAATAGTCATCATGACATGTGTACGCCAGAATATATATCCCTGTACCTACACTGCTATGTTCTTCGTGAGTGAATATTCTGGTTTCTCCTCTCTACTCTTAACATTAAGGTATCAGAGCTAGGTTTCGATCATGTGGGTTATGGGCCCACCACGCTTCCGCTACGCCACCTCTAATCAATAACGCAACGCAGTCCAAAAAAGGAAAATAGAGCCCATACTAAACACAAGACATAGAAAATGAACGAAGATATAAGGAAACATGAGTGCAGACTTTTGACAGAACCTTTAATTTGGGTTCAAGAGTTTTGTGAAGTGAAAAGTAGACATATTTTTCAACCCTGTCCTACTCCTACCATTATATTGGGACAAAGCTCATTTTCAAACAACCTGACATTCTGACATGGGTGGAGAATAACGGAAGGGGTGTTTGGATTAGCTTTTTAGAAGTGATTTTACAGTATGCGAAGTAAACATGTGAAAGAAGCTTTGTCTCGACTTGTGTGAAAGTACCTTTTTTAATTGATTGTAAGAGGTTATCCAAACTCTCACGAAGCCACACAATCCCAATTTTTGGCTTCATTAATCAACAAAATATTCAAGACTGATTTCAATTTGATGTCTGGTTTTCACTCCAGAACGTTCAAATTCTAAATGATAACAAGAGTGGCTTTTCTTTTTCAACAGTCAACACCTTTCTTTTTCTGTTCTATTTTAGACTTATTATTGTTTAATCCATGGGAATTAGTAGCGGCTTGCCGCCATTTAAGTCTTATTTATGTACTCAAGTTCTTCAAATAAATAAGAAGTCAGAGCAATCAATTATTTTCACATAACAAGATCTCAAATAATTGGAGATATAGAACTTGGTAGCAGTTCAAATTCAAAAACAGAGAGACGCGGGCATCAAAATGGCCATTACCTTGTCTCTTCCTAAGGCAGCATAATGTTGCAAGCCATTGCAAGAACCATCCTAAGATAGAAATCATAAAAGAACAAATTGTATCTTGTCAACAATCAACAAATACGTTATAGAATGACAACGATGATCGCAATGACAATAATAAACATGGCACATCTAATTGGTCATTGAAATTAAACACAGGACAATCAAAAGAAAAGATCAAGCTTTCAACTGTCCTATATACCTATGAAGTGATGGAACAAAATGATAAGGATCACAGAGATTTATAATTGAAATATTTGCATCAGTAAAGATAAAAACATAATAATTGCATGAGTTCTGATGAAGCAAACTCATAACTTGAAAGAGAGAATGGTTTTCATCGTTTCACTATTGTCTACTAAAGAGAAAATGATAAAAAAAATCATTTGAAATGGTTTGGACACAGATCCATGTAGCCAAGATCACCAAGTAGAATAAGGCTTGGTATTGTTGTTGTCCTCTTACTTGCTGAAAAATCTTCTCAGTTTCTCCTTGATTATATTTAAATCCCAGTTGCCAAAGAAATGGACCATACTTTTCTTGACCAATAAAGAAACTGACCATTACATAATTTCGGCATTATATATTGGCAAAGTTTAAATAAAAGTTAGTCATATAATTTGGGAATATTTAAAACTAATTTGCATCTAGTTATACTCCCCAATATCATCTAATGACTATATTACTACCCGGGAGGCACTTAAAAGTATATAATCAGAAGTTCAGAACATGTTTGAATGGGTTTGGCTGGGCTGCTCTTTCTTTCTTCCTTTTTCTTTTTTTTCTTTTTTTTTTTTTTAAAAAAAAACTATTTGGTGTGGCTTTTGTGCACAAATAAGGTTAGCCTAGCTTTATTTTTTCAACAAAAATTCTTTCAACTCTTAAAGTTTTGGATTAGGGTTTCTACTACTCTTCTGTTTTCAACCTCATCAACTATAAACATGACCAATAAATTCTTATTTACTAGTGTGTGCATATGTAACGAATAGTATATCACAATATACAAGGTACACTGCATGTAAAAAGAAGCTAGTCAATAGTAATTGTACATTACAGGATTTGTTTTCTTTCTTTTTACCATTATTCTTATTTTTCTTTATTTTCCTTTTTACTTTCAAGGAAAAAAATTTAACCACACACACTAACATCTAAACCCCATCCAAGCCGAATAACTCTGACTCCATTTGGAACATCGAGATCATTTTATTCTCCAGACCCAAATTCAATTTACTTTCATTAAATACCTGATGTACAGGAATATGTGAGACAAATGTTTCAGGCGAATGGCTTCTTAAGGCTTCAGTGAGGTCTATGCACACAGCCAAGCATTGGAATGGATCCTCTGCATTCAACCACCACCGCCTCCCTTCAAGTGGTTTGTCTGCAGAATCAAATATATCTTCCAAATGACTTTCCACAAATGCTATACGACCATCGTGAGATAATTTATCAACACCACCAGCATAAAGATTCGCCAAGTGAATCTTCAGCCAATGTAAGCCAGATGTTCCAAGAGGACGTCCCTCAGCAAATTCCAATATGCCCCGGCATACATCGGAACCAAGGTGATTCAAGTGTGGGTGCATAGGGTATGCACGTCCTCGGAAATCAAGGTTGTGAGGGTAGAAGAAACCCTCTTCGTCCTTCAAATTCCGTGCTACCTGAACCCATATGATTGCGTGTGTTAATAGATAAACATAATGGATTGCTAATCGATACACAAAAAGTTCAAGCAAGCTTACAGCAAGTTTAAGTTCTATGTCACAACGTCTTGAGTGTCTCTCCCTGTTCTCTTTCTTCACAGATTTAGACTTCCATCTCCACTTCTTGATCTGGGCTTCATCATCAGTATCAGGCTTCTCAGGCAAAGGAAGCTGCAAGTTGAATTTCATCCCAAAACATAGTGAACAAAACTTCCATAAAGCACAAATTCACAATTCAAAGTAAGTCATAGATCTGTATGGCATAATTTATTACTAATTAAATAGGGTGAAGGGAAGAAAACAAGTGAATATCAGCTGCATAATTGAACTTACATCATCACGGTCCACCAAGTCAGCGAGACAGCCTCCACTGGCCCAAATTCTATCTGTAATGCTCAGTACCCTTTTATTTATCCTCCATTTTGTATTCCCAAGGGTATCTAGGGCCTAACCACACACATATATACATAGTTATTACATATTTTGGTTATGAAATGCTCCTCTATTCAGACGAATTAGCAGAAAAGCAGATTCTGCGTACATTATAACAACAGCAACTAAACTTTCCATGCCTTAACTAGTTTTCCCTCCAAAACAATTTCCATATTTTGGCTAAAAAAGTTGTTTAATATAAGCTACAAAGTAGTTTATTGCAATTAATATAATGTTAATTAATATTAATGACAAAATTTAATCAAGTTATATTGACGTCCTTACAATAAAATAAAAAAATAATAATGAATAGAGCTCAGTCATCTAGAACATTTTGAAAAAAGAAATGATAATGAAAATTTTGGTCTCTCAAACTCGACTTAGTTATCGACTCGGTCCCTCAAGTTTAATTTTTATCAATCAAGGCCCTAAAGTTATATAGCCACACACAATAAGTGTTTATGGTTTGAAGACATATCATCCTAGACACACATGCAGTGTAAGCTTCGGTAACCTCTTCATGGATTGTGAGGGGAAAAAAAAATGCTGATATGATGAGATCAATTAAGAGTATGAAATTGTGTATGAAACTTTAGGGACTTAATTCATAAAACTAAACCTGCAAGAACCAAATCAATAATTGAGGCAAACTTGAGGACCAATTTTTCTTTTTCCCCCAAAAAAAAAAAAATTGAGCAAACAAGGCGTTTTAATCCTATGTATTGACTAGAACTTTTTATATGTCAATTACACTCCTACCGAGTGTAATATTGATTTTATATGTAGGAGTAATCAATATTGATTTTAATATAATTTTTTCAAATAATAATTGCTAGGAAAAATTATTATATTAAAATATTATATTAAAAAGTGCTGCTACAGCAGTACATATTACATTAAAAAGATTAATAAATAAACTGGCCAGTGCATGATGAGCAGATTTTAATTTTGCAATCATATTTATATCAAAAAGTTGTTACTGTTTATTCCATACAATAATAATAACAATTACGACAACAATTACAATAATTCCGACAAAATATTACTCTAAACTAAATAAAATGAAAAAGTATAATTGTTACTATTGTGAATGATAAAAACTAAAAAGTTCACTGACGTTTATACTCAGCAGTCTCCCAGTGCACAGATTTCTAACTCTAATGGCCATAGCTTTTGGGGTCGATATCATAACTGACAAACATTCTTAAATATAAGGTTTCCTCTTTCATTCATAACTTTCTAAAAAAGACTAAGAAATTCAGACCTCAAATACAGGTCCAAGTTGCTTGAGAGGGGCCCTTTTAATAGCTTCACGCTGTTGCTTGGCTCCATGAGTACGCATGACATAGGATGGCAGGAATAAGTGTCCACCTTTGTCAAAACTGCAGAGTACATTAAAGAGAGAATTCAAGAGTCGACAGTTAGGTTGATGAGTCAGACAGAAAAACTACAATATATGATTGTAAACAAAGAACACAACGGACACAAAAAAATAAAAAGTTACCATACCCAATCCAGTTAACTGGAGGAACCAACATTGGCATATAGGGAATCACCACATTTCTTGCCTGTTAGAGAAGATAAAAGCAAGAAGTATCAGCAGCAAGGAAGGGAAGATGAATATAAATAGGGAAAAGTAATCGGCAAGTCTCTACAGTTTCACTTGATTTTTAAATAAAAGGTCCTTGTAGCTTTTTTCTTTTTATAAGGTCTTTATAATTTCACCTGATTCTTTTTAATGAGATCCTTATAGTTTTTTTATGAAATACATACAGTTTCTCGTAATTTTTAGTCAAGTCCCCATAGTCCCCCCCCCTCTATCAAACCCTTATGGCTATCCAATCTCCTTTTTTATTATTGATCATTAATATTAATTGTTTCAAATTTAAAAAATCGAATTCATTTTAATTTTTCAATTTGAATTATTTTCAAATTCTTTTTCTATTTTCAAATTTTTATTTTGTAGTTCAAATTCATTCTAGTTAAAATTTCATTATTTCATTAATTTTTATTTTAGAAGTAAAATTGCAACCATTCTCAGACAAAACATATTGAAATAGCCTCAACAGGAACTACTGAAGGCTTTGACGTCCGCCAGGATAAAAAGCTTATAACACTCTGAAAATTCATTGCAATTACCCAGTGTGGGGAAGGAAAAGGGATGTGGTATAGCAGAGATCTACTTTTCACTGTCAATCAAATAAAAGTAATTATCTGGAATATTATAGTGCTATTATATTATTACATACAACTGCCGAAAAAATCAATGAGAAACATAATAGAACAAGCAGGATCACTTGGCCCCCGAAGCAAAGGGCAGGATCTGCCTTAGTGCACATATTGGGAGCGTCATTTATAGTCTTTGCATCAGGAGCAAAATAGCAGTATTAATCCCATAGAGTTCAGATATCCAATGAAAAATTTGACATTGGAAGGTGGTGTTGGTATCTGAATAGTAAGATTGAAAGTAACTATTGAAGACCAAAGAAGCGGAGGAGTAGGGTTACAAAAAATAAAAGACAGAGAAATGCAAAATACAAATTGTCCTCCAAGAAGAAGATGGGAGAGGAGCATAATCAACAACAATCAAGACATTCCAATTCAGAAGTCTCTACACATTCAGATTCGTGGGAAAATAAAATGAAAACTCAAAGAAGGGTCTACCTACATAGGTTATAGACAGACGTGAAATCTAAGAGTCAAAGTGTTGTTGCAGCGGCACGTCAACTCCAAAAGGGCACCAATTGGTCGAGAGCAAAGTAACATTTGATGGGCACACAAATAGAATGGAGAACTCTTTCCAAAAATTAGGCCCCATTTGACATGTCTGACGGAAAAGGCCAAGAAATTCCATTGGACAAATCGAGATACGTAATGCATATTAAACTCCTATTATTATTCAGGGTTACAGAAGACATTTCCCTATCAAAAATCACTTATTTCATTCTTTCTCTATTCTATTCCATTTTCTATACCAAATGGGGCCTTAGCTGTTGATGTGAGGGAGCTAACCAAGGTAAACACCCCATAAAGCAACCTTCACAACTTGATATGGAACCAAGCAGGCGTTCAATATAGCATTAGTCTGCACTATATTAGCCGCACCATTTTCATTGGCCCTGGGACCGCCTGGCTGGGGAGGGGGGGGGGGGTACACCATTTTCTCCCATCTCAAAAGATATCTCACAATTTTTTCAAAGTCTAGAATCTAACTAAATGTGCAAAACAATTCAGAAGCCCATCTCTACAAGAAAAACAACCAAAGTACACAATTTCATCTTAGTCTGTTAGCCTAATGAAAAGCTGTCACCTAATGAAAGCTTAAAAAACCAACAATGATATCACAAATGATAAACCATCAGATCTCAATTTAAATGAATCAGTAGAAAGTGATAGAATAAACTTACAGTTTTCTCAAGGCCTTTGAGAACTAGAGGGTTGCATTCGATGACACCATATTTTCTGCCTGAATTCCTGAGCAAAACAAAAGGCACAATCATACAGCAAAGTATTAAATAAAAAAATTTAACATTTCCACTCGAAAGAGAGATCGATGCTTACACTCCATGTCTTATCACTGTTTTGAATGAATGAAAGAATGCAGGTCGGATATCAGGTGGACAATCCCCTGGGTGATCAGATGGAGGTTGTATATAGGCTGTCTGTATCAATATCTCAATTAATCGGCTTCCTACCTGTGAAGTCCACATGACAATTATTTAAAAAAAATTTTAAAAAAAAATGAGCGGCATGAATGACGAATCACAGAGTTGGGAAATGGTTATTGATACCCTGGCCTTATTATCCGATCCCCATGGCTTTGAATCATCTTGGCCCTTCACCATCTTTCTCACTACAGCGAGCTTTTGCTTTTTCATCAAATCAGTAACTTTTTTCCGCAGCTTATCCTGTTCCCTGCTTAAGGCGTTCACCTTATCTCCCCCTTCTTTCTTTGCTGTATCACCGTTTTTCTTTTTAGTCTTCTCCAAGAACTTGTGTATTCTAACCTGAACCATCAAATTATAGGTGGCATGAAAGGAAATCAAGAGTTATGCCCCTTAATATCTGCACATCATATAAATTAGATCACGAAAAACTATCGCTGTCTATTCTTATGCATTGACAACAAATAAATCAGGTCACTCCCCAATACCCTCACCTTACTAAAGCCTGGGTTTCAGAAGTTGTTGGAGATTATGAGAAGGCTATTCATGGGCCTTCACTTCTTGGGAGTTTAAACTTATGAACTCCATTAGTCCTTGACATGGTATAAAAGCTTCTATAACCAAATAAGTCGAGGCTGTGTAGGATTTTCCATGGCCCCATAAAGATTAACCCAGACTCAGAAATGACAAAAGATTTTCTTTGTCCTTCAAGACAAATAAAACTTTGTATGCATTTTTAGTTATTCATTAAAGCTTATTTCCACATATATAATTTCTACGACCTTGTGATTATTGATTATAAGTGATTTTTAATCAGAAAACAAAAGATGGTACGTTTCTTTTTTGCATTTTTAAGCTATTGGTAACTATTTTTTTAATTTTGAAAGTTTATATCTCTGACTATTTTTGTAAGGTTTGAAATTTGAATTTTAAAGTAGCATGAGAGGGAAAGCATAAAAAGAGATTTTGTCATGTCGGTGTTTTTAGGAATTCATGAGAAGTTTTTTATTCTAAGATAATCTTTTTGGCTTGAAAGGTGTGACTTGTTTTCTTAATTAGAATTGAGATGAAATAATTCCCTATTCACCAGCTCCCATGCATCAAACGAGGAAGAGCACACTAGTTTTCTCTATATCAGAATTAAATTTCAACATAATAATCGGCTTCTCTACACTTCACGTCTAATAGGCTCTCATGAGAGTGTGTAATAAGTACTATAGTAAACTTATTCATGAACCTTCACTTAATAGCTTAAGCTTTTGGGTGGAATTGATCCTTGAAAGTAAAACGAAGGAGGCTTAAGAATCTTGGAACCCTACTTTATTTTCAAAAAGTACTCTTACAGATTAGATTTCCCTTTAGTTGAGTTTGGGAAACTAAACTAAACTTATTCCCATCCCATCCCGTGAAACCCCCTAGCAGAAGTTCCCTTTTCTACGGTTCAAATAGCCTACAGATTTTCTGCACTAGTTAGTAGATGAATGGCAAAGAGCAACACAAGTACATATTGAAATTTGAAATCGAGATCCATAATTTTTTTGGAAAAAAAAGGGATCATATATGGTACCAATCAAAGAAGATCTACAAATAAGTTGAGCGGTGGTTAGTCCCATTTATTTCAACCAGGTAAGTTGAGTGCTGACATACAAATAGAATATAGAATGAACATGAGCAAGATGAGAGAAATGAGGACAAACCTCATGCTCGATGGCATCACCCACACTGCAGGCAGCATGTACAACTTTTACGCTGCCATGCTCATTTCCAGTCATCAACAAACTCACCAATTTATGCATTGTGATAACAGCCATCATGTCTGCTGGTAACTGATCAAAGTAGGGTGCATGTGTCGCTTTAATTTTCCCAGCTTGGCACAACTCTTGTTCCTTGGCAATGGCATCCCGAAAAGGCTCAAACCAACCAAGGAATAGAGTTTTAATGTATGGCAAATTGGGTGCCAGCTTCTGCTCACACATGTCCATCAAAAGTTCACTGTACTCTTTTGCAGCTTGCTCCCATGCTTCAGTCTCAATCTTAACCTGCCTTCTTCTAAGTAACTGGTACTTTGACTGTGTCATGCCCCGAGCCATATTCTTCATATTTCGCCACCTAATTCGAGCCTGCCTCCTCTCTTCTTTCCTCATCTCTTTCATTAAGTCTTCAACTTCATCATGCGAATCTTCCTCAACATCTGTAGAGGTTACTGCTTCTGCAACACTAGCATAGCCTTTAATCTGATTTCTCAAGCAACCAGAACTACTATGATTCCACAAAGAACCTTCTTCCGACCAAATTCCATTACTCCGGGGATTGTAACCCATTCCTAAAGATCCGCATTTTAATCCAGACATAGGCTCAAAGGATCTAACTTTAAATCTTCCTGGCAAAGTTGAACCCTGAGAGTGACAAAAAGAACTATGAGCATTTAGAGGAAGGCGCAAATCAAAACGTAACCGGTTGCTTTTCGAAACGGCTTGTTTTGCAATGTTCCTCCACATAATTGTACCACTCCTCGAGTGGTTTGGTTGGGAAATAATTGGTTTCTTGTCAAAAGGAATGAAAGAATCAAGTCTCTTGTCGAGATTGTAAGTGAATAAAGGGGGTCTACTACTGAACATCAAATTGTTGCGAAAATGGTTCGCAGAAATGAAATAAATTCAATATAATTGAGAGTTAGAAGTGGTGAGATTAAAAGAAATGAATCAACGAAGACGTCGGCAAAAGCTTTGACATGGCCGCCTTAAACCCTGCATAAATCTTTGCCATGGCCTTCGGTATGCTTCTACTGGGGTATCAGACTAAGGTCGTGCTAATTGTGTTTGTGCCCCTGAATCTCGGGGATTTAGATTTGTGCCTCTCTGATGACATGGACCGATGACAACACAAGATTAACAATAAAAAAGGAATATATTAATTTTTTTAATAAAAAATGCATTATAAATAAAAATAAAATTGAAAAGCATCTTAATGATAAAAGTCCTAAATCTAAAAGAGCAGTAAAAAAATATAATTTTAATATTAAAGGAATCGAAATTTTTAAGTAAAGACTAAAGGGAAAATAACATATAGAGAAACCAGAAAATGTGAAATGCCAAAATAGGAAGCTTAGCAAATGTATTGACAAATTGGGAAGTATTGCCTAATGGGGGATTATGCAAATGTTGATCAATTACCAAAAAGCCCTTCTATCAGTGTTTGAAAGCAGAGAGAGAGAGGCGTGAACTAGCCACTTGTGTTTTCCTGGTTTCTTGCTTCCACCATCCCCCTTACTACCCTAAAAATACCGGCAAGTTGGATAGTTGACGACCCCGAAATAGTGTGTGCATAAGAGAGCAGAGCAGTTTGAAGTGGAAGGCAATTCTGTTTGAAGGGCGAACGTCGTCGCCTGTGTCTGATTGGGTGGAAGGACGAAGGTTGGTTGTCAGTGATTTACCATTGCGGTTAACAAGTATCAACGGCATTTCACTAAGGTAAATTTAGGGATTTAAGTTTCATGCTATGGTCGACGTTTCTAGGTGAGTGGGGGAAGCAATGATTAGGTAATATTTAGAAATGACACGATGAAGTTTGTGAATGACAAGAACGGTGATTAAGAGTTTATGCTGAGTCTCTATGGCATGCTATTTGTTTTTTATAACGAAGTTGAGAACTATGACGTTAGGGAAAAATGGGTTTTCAAATAAGTAGGAAAATTATCTAATTGACTAGAAAGATTATATGAATGAACTGAAAATGACAATAACATACTGGTAAATGACTATAAACGAAGTTGAAATGACCATATTCATAGTAGTAACCTTATTGTCAGTCTGTAATGGCCATATTGGTAATGACAATGAATTAATTGGAAACAACTATATTCATAATAATGATCTTACTGTCAATCTGTAATGACCAAATTGGTAATGATAATGGAGGAACTGGAAATGATCATATCCATAGTAAGGACCTTACTGTCAGTCTGTAATGACCTTATTGGTAATAACAATGAAGGAACTGGAAATGACCATAATATATTTGGAGAGAACTAGAGATTTTAGTATATGTATAACAATTATGACTTAATGACCATACATTGATGACTTTATAGAATTATATGATATGGTATTGGAAGAAGGGGAAGGGTCTACAAGCAAAGGAGTACACAGTAGGCTTGTGTTGTTTAGAAGGTACTATATGGCGAAACGAGGGGAGAAGTGTAAAAATGCAAGAGAAGAAAAAATTGAAGTGGGGAAGGCATGGGAGGCACTAAGTCAGGAAGAGAGAGATAGGTATAATGAGAGGGCAAACAAAACGAAGCCAGAGAAAGGTGAGAAGAAGAAGTATGATATTCCTTTGTACACCCGGTACTCATTGCCCAGATTTAAGTTATTTGCTGAGTGTGTGAAGAAGAACAAGCGGTTAAGGCAAAAAATTAAGTGGATGGGATTTGGGAACTTGCTTAATGTGAATGTGAAGCAACTTCCATGTAATCTACTTGTGTCATTGTTGAAATCCTATGACCCACCAACACATTTTTTTACCATTAGGAGGCAAGGGGAGGCAATTGAAGCAATAGATGCTCATGATTTTCTAAGTGTACTTAACAGTGGGGAGGAAGTCAAATATGATATTGGTGAGGATGACCCAACATATAAGAGGTTAAAGCACACATATTGGAAGGTTCTATTTACCCAGATACTGAAGAGGATATTATTTGGGACAGAAACTAATTTTGAGTTCCTATTTATGCTTTATACAGTTGAGCTTTTTTATGTCCTGGGTCAAGCACAATTGTACATTTAAGTTTGTTGAAAGTGATGCGTTGCACAATGGATGGGTTTGGAAAATATGATTGGTCAACATATATAATTAAGAACCTCTGGAAGGAAATGGGAGAGTTTGTGAAGATGACAAGAAGAAGAAGAAGAAGAGGAAAGAAACTTGCAATGTTGGAGGGTGTCTTTATTTGCTATTGGTAAGTCAATATTTTTATTGGTCATTATAATTTTGTTTAATGTTATTGTTGCAGAAGTGTGACCTATATTTATTTTGTTTTGCAGCTATATTTTGCTGAGCGTTTCCCCTTGGGGAAAACTATTGACCAGAGTTCACCAAGCCCTATTGAATATTGGACCAAGGAGAAGATAAAGGAGAGGGTGGAGAAAGAGAGAGGTAGCAGCATGGGAATATTGTACAGAACCAGTGGCAATGAGGTTTACTCAGTAGGGGATGATGACAGTTCAATTCTGCAGTCTTTAGATCCAGTATGTGGGAATTTAGAAAATTTAGCTGACCTAAGCTCAAGTAAGTATGTTAGCAAGGTTGATACTTGAGATGACGAGACTTGATTAGCAAATGACCAGTCAGATACTGGTAATGATAACAGTGATCAATTAGTTTGATATCTTCATTTACTGTGTATGCAGGTGTTGAAGGAGTTGAGGGCTTGTTTCATAAAGAAGTTTGAAGAAAGCCAAAGGATGTTAATAAAGGCTCTTGATGATGAGCTAATGAAAGTGCAGATTAGATTGAATGCCAAAGTGAAGGGGATAGGGAATGAGAAGGTCACTGCTAAAGAAGGGGGTCAAACAGCTAGTGATACAGGTGGTAACGTTACTGAAGAAGCTGAAGACGTTGACTGAGTGGTGGAGGAGATTGCAACAGTGGTTGCAGCAAGAAGTAGAGCTGAGGAACTTGATAAGAATAACAACAGCAAAGGAGATGATGAGAAGGATAGGATGAAGAAGAACATAACCTTCATGATAGGGAAGGAGGTCATGATTATATGGTTGAGGAGGTGGAAGATGAGGATGACCGTGATGGTCGTAGAGGTGATGACGATGATGATAAGGACGGGGATGAGGAGGAAGATGACCATGATGACCAGGAAGGAGGTCATGATTATGTGGTTGATGAGGAGGAAGATGACCATGATGACATGGAAGAAAGCCATGATTATGTGGTTGAAGAGGTGGAAGACGACGATAAGAAGGTTGAGGATTCAAATGATGAGGGTGAGGAACACACACATGCAAAGACTGCAAACCCTATCAATCTTCCTTTGCTGTTGGATCATGATTGGGAGAGCAGTGACAGTGGTGAGGAAGCAGGACCTGAAAAATCCACTGAACTGAGGAGGTCAACAAGGGCAAAGAGTTTCATAATTAAATCTCTATGGATGGAGTTCAAGGCAGCTCTGAAGATAAAGAAGCCAAAGGAGGAAAGGGACATTTTTTTCACTTTAATATCCTGTAGACCTAAGACTGAGGAGGAGGGAAAGAAATAAGTATATCCCTGGTTAGCTTGAGTTTTAAATGACACAGTGTGTACTGACAATGACAGCAACCGAATTGAAAATGACAACAAACTATATGGGGATGAGAAGTGATGATGTCCCCAACACCATACTTTCTGTCACTAACATCTGACAATGTTTGCGGGATTGTCATTAAAATGTTTAATGAAGATATAGACTGACAACAACTGTTTTCTGGGTGGAATGAACAGAGTAAATAACAGGGTATTTTTAAATGCTCTGTCTCTATACCCATGCTTATGTTTGATAATGTTTGGTGAGATAATTGTATAAGAATGACATTTTTACTATGTAATGTAGGTGGTTAATTTGGCGTGCAAGACAGTGATGGAGGACATAAAGGCAGAGTTGGGGCCAGAGAAGAGGCACATCTTCGATGTGGATTTTATGGTAAGGTTATTTAATTCTGAATTCAAATACCAATGATAGCAATGGAATTGGAAATGATTGTTCTCTATCAATAGATTAACTATTTCATGTCATGCAAAATATGATGTCACATGACCCAAACTGGAAAGCCCAAAAATATAAGAAGCTCTTTCTTCCTGAGTTTGTTGGCTACAATTTAGGTGAATGTGATTTCATAATTGGTCTTGCTCTGGTTGGCCAATATTGGTTTTGCATTGCCATTTAGCCAAGCATATTGGATTTTCTCATATTAGACTCCATGAGTGACCATTTCAGAGCTAAGGACAAAAAGAAGAAGAAGAAGGTTGTCATCAAGGACCTAGTAGAAATGGTTGTGGATGAATGTGTAAGAAAAAACTCATTGTGTTTACCCTAGTTTTTGAACTTGTAAAATCATTCAACTTTCTATGTTGGTCCTGAAACGTGGTGAACCACACTTGAATCTTTTTTGCAGAGGAAGAGGTTCAGTATTATATTGGACTTTGTCAAGCCAGGACTGGTTAGGAAAAGGCCAATGTCTTAGATGACATTTGCAGAAGTTCTCCAGCAGAATAATCCATCAGTCTTGTCAATTTCGAATTTTGTGTGGTAAATGAACATGTTAGAGACGTTAACTAACTATGTTGATATTGTTGTGTCCATAGGAGGGATTGTGGGGTGCACTGCATGATGTCGCTGAGAAGATGGGAACCTGGTGTGACCCTTAACTACACAGAAGAAGAAGTTGATGGCTTTCGTCGTGACCTGACATAGTGGTTGGTCAATCATAAAATGAATGAAAAACATGATGAGGTATTGGATCTTATTCGACAACCAGAACCAACCAAGAGCAGAAAGTCAAAGAAAAGGCATCTATCCTAGGTGTTCAATGTTAGGCTTATAATTCACTTGTTCTCTGTTAGATTGCTATATGTAATATGCATTGTAGGCTGACCGAATGTGTACTCTGCCATGTGAATGAACATATTTCCCAGTGACATTAATGAATCTGAGTTTAACCACACGAAAACAGATAACGACAACAACTACATTGAATATGTGCTGTTGGTTTCTATTTCTTTTCAAGTTACTCAATTTTACTTGAGTATGTCCTGTTGGTATCCATTTGGAAATGACAACAACTTATCTGAATATAACAACAATAATCATAAACATAATCTGATCTTCATTATATAACATCAGTTTAACATAAACTGTCAGCTTAGGTTGATTACATCACTGCCAATAACTAGAACAAATTTGAAAATGACAACAACTAATCCGCATATAACAACAATGAAGATGACATAACCTAATTTTCATATATAACATCAGTTTAACATAAACTATCATATTAGGCTGATTACGTCACTACCAATAACCAGAACAAATTTGAAAATGACAACAACTAATGCGCTATTAACAAAAGATAACATCTCCATAACAGTAACTTGTTTTCACGTATTCAATGACAAGTGCATATTAAGATATTGGCCACACTTAATATTCCCTTGTCACTGACATTTCTATCACCTTACTTACAAAAAAAGTCTCCACCTAGCTCCTAACTACAACCTCAGTCCCAAAAAAGTTGACAAGGGTGGAGCACACAACTATGTACACCAAAAAATGACCCATCCTCACTGTACTCAAAACTTCATGATAGGTTAGGATTTTTACAATACCTCCTTATACGTCCAAGTTGGTGGCATCTTTCACATTGGTATATCCATTTGTTCTAGAATTGTGATTCATCCCTGTTTGCTTTTGGCCTTCTCAGTGGTCGAGATGTTATAAGAGGTAGCAAGAATATTTGCTCACTGACATTTCCTCTCTTATAGTAATCATTTGGGTGAGCCATGTCTGTTGTTACCATAGGAATCATAATGCAGGTATAAATCTTTTCTTGTCATGACCTTTTATAGCAATTATCAACATAATCATAAGCATTACCGTGGACAACCTTGATGGCTGCACAAGCATGGCAACAAGGGATCCTCGTCATTTGCCAAGATCTGCAACTGCGTTAGTGTAGTCCAAGATCAACTCGATGGTCTTCACGTGATGTTGTCACCTTTACTCTTCCCCCACCATAATTTTCAGCATACATATGCTCAGACCCAGCCACCATATCTATCACCTTACTGTCTATATTTGGACCAACACAATTCTTCCATTTGGTCATAACCATATAGGAGGCATGCAGCTTTCTTGCTACTTTCTCTCAGTGCTCACAAATCAATTGGGGTATAGTATGCTTTCTCTCATTGACCATCCATACATTTAATGATTCTGCAATATTATTTGTAATATTGTCCTATCTTTTATATGGGAACCTGCTTCTAGCCTACCTATCCACATCCCCATGATTCATAAGCCAATCAAATAGCCTTAGAGAAAAGGCTCTCATGTCATCTATTGCTGCCTCAAATTTCTCATCCGTCCTTGCATATGCAATTTTATCCAATAAATGTAGTGCATCTTCCTTTAATTGGTCATCTATCCTTGTTTGCCCCTTATTCGTTTTCATAACTTCTGAACTAAAATTCTTTTAATGTGTCTATAACAAAAGGCATGCCTTTGACCCTCAAAGGTTGATGCCACTCCTCCGATGATAGCATTGTGTCCATCTGATACAATCGTCACTTTCACAGAACCTAAAATTTTTTTTATCATATAGAAAAACCACATCTAGTCATTTAGTGTTTCTCCCTAACAATTGCAATTGCAAATGGCAACAACTCGTTATCTACATCATAAGCTAAAGCTGACAGCATTGTCCCCTTGTATGGTTCGGTTAAGTGAGTTCCATCAACATACAAAATATGCCTCGCGCTACCCAAGAAACCCTTAATGCATGACCTGTATGCTATGAAAACAAGCTCAAACAGGTTCCCAATGGCAGTCCATTTAGCCACAGTTCTTTCATCTGTTTCCGTTAGCCTTTTGCATATCCATGGTATAAGCATGTATGATTGTTCAAGCCTACCATATATGTCTTCTAATGACTTCTCTTTTGCTCTATAAGCCTGTTTATATATTAGATCAATCCCATACTCTCGTTTTAACTTCTTTCTTATCTTAGAAGTGTGCTTGTCTACACGATCCCTCGTCTCATCAATTATTATTGATGAGTTCAAACTAGTTCTTCTAATATGCATCACTTCCAAGCTATCTTGGGTAGAATGAACATGCCAATTTATAAATATCATCACTCGTAGCATATCACAACTCTTCCCCCCATGATTTGCACATAGCTTCCATAGACAACCTTCAACTTTTCACCTCACTGACATGAATTCCTTGCTATTCCTCACATACTTGGGCACAAACTTGTATGTAAGTGCAAACCTGTATGCAAACACCCAAAATACATCTGCACTTGGAAAACATTAACCCACCCCTGTAAAAAGTCCCCTCCATTTCACATGACCTATCTCAGTACCATCCATATCTTCAACTTCGATGGATGTATCCATATAAGGGGGCCACTTCCTCCATCATTGTCACATTCACCAGTATTTTCTTCACTGAGCTAGCCATAATTATAACACAAATTAATGGGAGACACATCCAATTCCGTTTGCTATGACATACTTATGAATCTCTCTGTTCTGCATTCACAATGACAAGACTCGTTAACACGAATAACAAGATGAAATTCATAAATGACAATAAATAGTTAGGATAAACTTCCACTTATATTTCTGCATTATCCCTTGGTTGGGAATCCCCCTGTCCTTTTTCAGCCATATACACATGACTGCTGTTCCTACTGTATTAAAAAAGGCTATACATTTCAGCATTGTCATGAAGGTCAATCAATGTCTTCTCATCAAAGGCCACTGTGTAGTTAATGTCATAATTTCTTCCATCACCACCAATCCACTCACATACCATTAGCCTCAATTCTTCAAGTGTCAGCCCATCCTTAATGCTTCTTAATGTCACGCTACCTCCATTACATCTCACTTCACCTTTACCACTTGTCACAAATTTCCCTCCCACATAAAAATAATAGAACAGGTCCTTCCTACAAGATGACCCAGCTTTGAAATTCATTTTGCTTCATTACCTACACTGATAACAAAACTGGAATGATTATATGACTTAACATTTAGCTCATCACTTTAATTTCACCAACATAATACCATTATCATCAACTTACACGACCTAATTAGGGTTTGACACATTCATGCTTATAATTTGCAATAAAACACTCATTTCTTTCCTATCCACACTCATGCTTTATTTTCTCAGAATCAATCCACTCCATTATTCGAATCCCCCTTCAACATTGTGCCTTTATCTAACACTAATCACTCTGACCCATTTATGACACCATCAAACCCCTCTCCCTCAATGTTTTTGCTTCCTCATGCATTCACCCTCTGATCACCATCCTTCCTCATAGGTTCTATATACCCACACCATCTCCCTACTTCGCCACCCTTTCCACCTCAAAATCAACCCCATATTGACGACATTCCCATCCAATGGGAACAAGAACATGAACCAGCGCATAAAGGAGATAGAGAAAAGAAAGAGAAGAAGAATATAGTCACTAAATACTAACCTTACTT